TATCTGAGTTATTTTTTCAAATAAGTAACGCAAGTTACTTTTTTTTTCCAATTTATTGATTGACAGCTCTCCTGTCCCCATGTTGAGTGAAATCAGATGTTACTGTAGTTCTAAAATAAATATGAATATGCATTAATTCATCTCACTCACAAAAAAAAACTAAAAAACACAGATTCAGTATTCCTCAAAATGAATAAAAATAATGCAACTCAGAATATGACGCAAACCTGCAATAATTAAATGTTAAACAACACAAATATCCTTTATGTATTTAATCCCATTCTATTAACCAATGTCTTTGCTTCTGACCTTCGATGATCCAGTTCAACTATACTAACAAGCCAAAATTACTCTAGACAAACATTTGTGTCTTTTTTTATTGCTGAAGTGTGTTGAAATTTCTTCTTCTGCATTCTACTGTACGGACGTAAATTTACCTTCCCTTCAGCCTGAGGCTTATTCATTTCACTTTTGGTGTGAAAAGGCTTTTATATTTGCCAAAAATAGAACTTTTTTATTTTAAAAACAAACAAGCAAGCCCTGTCCAGATTTAAAAAGTAACTCAAAAGTAACGTAACGCATTACTTTCCATAAAAAGTAACTAAGTAACGTAACTAGTTACTTTTTAATGGAGTAACGCAATATTGTAATGCATTACTTTTAAAAGTAACTTTCCCCAACACTGAACAGTAGTGTATTTATGATAATTTTTTTTGTTCCTCTCAGAATTATAACAGTATAGCAGAAAACTATGAGCTCCGGAGACAGTAAGAAGTGGTGCTAATGTGGGAAAATTAGGTTTGAATCTGGTCCGGGTCATGTCCCATGCCAGTCCCATGCTTCTTCCTATACTTCTGTTATCAAGAAAATGGCAAAAAGACCTAAATCTCATTGAAAAACTTCTTTCCAAACTTTTATTATCAATAAAATGGCAGGAGGACACATCTTTCTCATTAAAGTTTTTCATTCTCGCATGGATTAAACCAAATCTGAACTGCTAAGCAGTGGTGGACGAAGTACACAAATCAAGTACTTGAGTAAAAGTACAGATCCGTACAATAAAATATTACTCCAGTAAAAGTACTCAGTTTTCAATTTTACTCGAGTGAAAGTACAAACGTACATGATTTTTTATGTACTTAAGTAAAAAGTACCGATAGATGAATGTTTATTTTGCAGTTTTATATAGGCTACTTATAT